GTCCGGTTCCAGAGTAACAGCACAGATTTATTGTAGCACGTAGGGCTACAATAAATCCCAGCACCGTGTATGTAGTAGCACAGCGAGCATGTAAAGCTGTACAGGGTGTGCGCTACCTACACCGACAACTGGATGGGCACAGACGCGGGACCATGCAGAGAAACGGGCACAGAAAGCACATCGGGCACAGCGACAGAAACGACCGTCCGTTTCTTGACGTCGGCACTTCCAACCCTATTCGGGGGGCTTATGCGTTACGGTTTTCACAAAGCGGGGGGGCAAGGGGAGAAAGAGCTATGCGTTGGGTTTTGTTTTCCTTCAACTCTGAGCTTCCCCTGAGCCGCTCAGAAGGAACTGGAAAACGCTCCAAAAGAGAGCTACAAGGAGCTCGTAAGAACGGATCGCGGCGCGTCAGCAGGGGTACAGAACCGCCCGCTGCGGGCACTCCGCTCGCGCTGCCCCGCTTCACAGCGCGGCCGTACTCTCAGCGGCGGCGCCGCGCCGGCTCTCGCGCGTCCCTCCCGCGAACGCCACCGGCGAACCCGCCATCGCAGCCTCCCCGCGGAGCGAAGCCCCGCTCCTCCCTCCCCCCGGCCCGAAGGCGCGGGGCAGAGCGCGGCCGGGCGCGGAGGCACTTACCGGCGGCAGCGGCACGCTCGCGGCGGCGGGGAAGCTCGGCGGCGGCAGGCGGCGGCCGCGCCACAGCAGGCCGAGCAGCGCGCCCAGCGAGGCGGCGGCGGCGGCGCAGCCCGCGTACAGGGCGAGGCGAAGCGGCGGCAGCAGGGCCCAGCCGGGCCAACCGCCGCCCCCCGGCCCGGAGAGCTCCCGCCCCAGCAGGGCGACGGCGGCGGCCAGCAGCCCCAGCCCCGCCGCCAGCGCGAAGCGGGACGCGCGGGGGTCGTCGTCCTCCTCGTCTTCCGCCGCCCCCTCCTCGCCGGCGGCCGCCGGGGCGCCGCGACCGCCGGTTTCGCCGCCGGGGCCGTGCGAGCCCGCGGCGCCCCCCCCCGCCGCTTCGGGCTGCCCGGCCTTGCCGCTAGCGCTGTCGGCTGCGGGGAGCATGCTGCTGGCGGCGCCGCGGGCAGCCAGCGCATCTCCCTCCGCGGCAGCCCCCCGCGAAGGTCGCCGTCGCCGGGGTCTCCCTCCGCCTCTCGCCGCCGCCGCCACTGGCACCGCTGCGGCCGCCGGAGGAGCCGGCTCTCATGCCCGGCGGCCCGGCCGCTTCCAGGCGGCGGCGCTGCCCGCAGGTGGGCGCCGGGAGCCCAGCGCCGCGGCGGCAGCAGGCGGGGAGGCCCCGCCGCGCCTGACGGGTCCGGCGGGGGAGGAGCGGAGGCGGCGCCGAGCGGGAGGCGGGGAAGAGCCGCTCCCGCCGCGGAAAGCGGCCGGCGGCGCCGCTGCTGCGGAAGGGCTGCGCTGCCGCTGCTCCGCTCCCCGCGCCTCGGCGTTCCCTAACCCCTCGAGGTGCAGCGGCCGGAACGGAAAACGCTTCGCAGCGCGGCACGAGCTTTGCTGTATTTCCTCCCTCAGGAAGCGGGGCTCGGCCAAAGGGACTTAGCAAGCCTTCCTCTGCTCTCGGACTTCGTTTGCGGGACGACATCCCATTGAGAAAATTGTAGGCTGGAGCACTGAGGCTGCTGGAAAACGCGGGTTCGGGTTCAGATTGGCACTTTGTGGACAGGCTCAGCGCGTTAAAGAGCTCTACATCTACTTCTTAAACAACCGCTATTGCCGCTGAGCTCGGGGACATCTTCATTTATTCAGATTCAGTGGGTACTGCTGTAAGATTAATGATACCATTCACGTGAAGAAAAGAGGTGAACACCAAGGCCGTGGTTTCACAGATTTCTGTAAAGTTTCAAGAGTGCAAAGCACCAGCATTTAAAAACCAAACCCTGAACTTCCCTGAGCCTTTGAGATGTTAAGCAAGCCAAGGCCACGAGCACCCATAGAACGGGCACCCATGGAACGGGTGTCAAAACGCTACAGCTACAGCTCCAGTACTGCACTCTGGAGATGCTTTGGGGGCAAGTTCACAGCACAGAACTATTTCCTCTCAAAATACTGAAGTAGTGTTGAAGAGATTTCAGCGTCCCGTTTAGTCATCAGCCAAAAGAGCCTGTGCTCCTTAACCTGCTCCAAACTCCTTCACAGTGGCTTAAATAGTTTTACTACACAGTTCATTCTATTTAGTGGATATTAAATTGCACAAAGGCAACAAGCTCAGGCCATCCACAGCAGCCAGAATTGATTATTTAAGTAATGTGTCTAACACGATTAATGGTAAAAATCAACACACACAGAAAGTGAGAATGTGAATGTGTTGACAGTCCTTTCCCATGCAAACCATGCAGTGCCCAAACATCCCAATGCCACATCCAAGGGCTTGGGGTACACAGCTCTTGCAGTGCACCCAATCATGAAGACCAACAGAGAGATTCTTGCAGAATCCAAGAGCTTTTAAAGAAAGCCCAGTGTGCCAGAAATTTTTCTGTACTGTTATTTTATTCTATTTCTATCGGGCAGAAAACAGAAATCAGAGATCCAACTCCCAGCACACACTTAATTCCTCAGAGTTCAGAAAATACAAGGCTCTGGGCAGAGATCAGCACCTCTTCTACTATCTTCAGAATGAGCCACACAAGCAAGAAGACAGAGCGTGCAGAGCCTTCGCCACAGATGTGCTCAGGAAACAGTCCAGGCCTCTGTCAGAACTACTAAAGGGAACTGAATTTTTAAATTAACCTGAAGCAGAGCATGTAACATTGTTAGCTCTGTGTAAAGAGAGATTATTTTCTCATTAAAGTATTAACTCTCAGAATTGGAGAGGAAGATAAAAAATAAACCTACCTATGATAGAGGTTTAGTCCTGCAGTGCTTACGCACAAAAACCGTTCTTGTCTGAATGAGTAATCCCACCAATTTTAGTTAGACTTCTCACATCATACCCTGAATCAGATATACCTAAATTAACTCAGGTGTATACCCATGCAGCTAGGGGGAGCTTTGACTGTTTTTCTTTTAGCTTTTAACAAGATTCTTTGCCTTTCCAACCCGGAATACAATTCATAGTATTTCAGATGACATCCTACCTTCACTGAAGTCAATAGAAATTTTCAAGTTTCTCTCACTGTTATTTAAATTTCCCCTTTTGCACTTAAAAAAAACAAACAAACAAACAAAAAAAAAAACAAACAAAAAAACCCCACAACTTTCTTGCACAATACAATACAACTTCAGAAGAGAAGTTTTTGGATCAGAACCATTATTTTTCTGTAACTATTTCCTCCATCGTGGAATTATTTTGTGAGGTCAGCTATTCAAACTCTGTCTTATTCAAGCATTACAGCAAATATCTTTATCCAAAAGGCTTTTTGGAGATCATTTTCAAATAGAAATGATGCCTGATTTTGGGGAAGAGTCAGCACCTTCACTTCAAACTCTGAACAAGGAATGCAATAACTTTTTTCTGACATACCCTACACTGAGCCTCAGCATTACAAATGTAATCTTCTATTTGTTCTTAAGTGACAATCTTGCATCTTTCACCTTCACAGTACTGCATACTTTTAACTTTATACATTTGCACTTTCAGTATGTTTATACCAGCTGCATATTACTTTCATGAAGCCTTTTTTCATATTTACTTTTTGCTTTGTGAGCCTTTCTGGCTCAGATCATGTTGCTATAAAGGTGCACAATTTACTATTACTGTGTACTATCTTTCCTTGAGACCCCATTCACCCTTTACTGAAAATGAATTGAACTGCTCTCCCACAAGCTGTTATTTTTCTTGCTTGCATTTCTGCAGAATAAGTCAGTTGGGCTCAGTACTTTACAAAATGAATCGATTTATTCTCTCTATACCTTTTTGAGGCAATGACATTTTGCATCTGAAAAACAAAAGGCAAAAGTAGACCTTAAAGAATCATCGAGTCCAAACATGACCTAACCAAACTACCCTAACAACCCTCCACTACATCATGTCCCCGAGCACCACATCCAAATGGTTCTTAAACACATTCAGGGATGGTGACTGCAATCTTTCCCACTCCACACAGTACACTAATTCTTACAGTGGAAGATCATTATCACAGCTGCCATCATCAGTGCAGGAAGTAATGAAACTCTGCCTGAAGGTTTCATGTATGTTTCTGCAATAATTATCCTGAGACTTAAGGATGCAGAGATCAGGCTCAATCTTGAGGAAGGAGAGCATTCTAGTAGAAACAGGTACTGTATCTCTTCTCAAGACTTTGAGGCCCTGGAGTGCATCCAGGGTCTGGAGCACAAGCCTTACAGGGAAGGGCTGAGAGCTGGTATTGTTTAGTCTGGCAGAGAGTCAGGGGAGACCTTATTGCCTTCCACAGCTACCTGAAAGAAGGTTGTAGTGAGGCGGGGGTTAGCCTCTTCTCCCAGGTAAGTGACAGGCATAACATCAAGTTGTGCCAGGTGAGGTTCAGGTTGGATATTAGGAAATGTTTATCCTCCAAAAGAATGGTAAGGCATGGGAACAAGCTGCCCAGGAAAGCAGCAGAATCATTGCCCCTGGATATGTCTAAGAAATGTATAGATGTAGCACTAGGAGACGTGGATTAGTGGGCAATATTGGTAGTAGATGGACTAGATGACTTTAAGAGGTCTTTTCTAACCCTAATAATGCCATGAAATATGCCTTTTTTAACACGGGGTACCATTGCATCAGACCTCATCACTCCAACCTGGAGCACCAGCACCTCAGCTAGGACCCCTCCACCACCTCAAGCTGAGACTCATAGAGCCCCATCACCTCACCCTCAGGCTCTACTGCTTCAGCCTGGTTACCCCCACCCCAATGCAGGATACCGTTACCTCAGTACGGGGAAACAAACTCCACAGCCGCACTCACAGCTCCCTCCTGCGGAGCTGAGAGCCGAAGAGATGAGAAGCCTGACGGGAAGCTCGGGGTGGGCGGGAAAAGATGAGCGTGCCGAGAAGTCCCGCGCCCGCCCAGCCGGCGCCGCCATCAGCCCCCGCCCGGCGAGGGAGGGACAAGACGCTCCGCCTGCTGGCGTGACGCGGCTGTGACGTGCCGAGCCGTTGCCGTGGCCGCTGCGCCGATCCCAGAACGCGGCTGGGCTGCCGGCCTGGCGGTGGTGCCTCCCCCGTGGAAGGTAGTTGGGAGGGCTGGTAGTTGGGCTGCGGGCTGGTTGGAGGCGGCGGGGGGTGGTAAGCGGCTCTTCCGTCTGCCTGTCAGCGCCAGCTCCACCGAGGCGGGAAACGCGTTGGTTGGTGTTATTGTTCGGGGCTTCGCTGCCTTCAGTGCTTGGGGCGCTGCCGGAGTGGCACGTACTGTCACTCAGTGTGTGGAGGGCTTCTGCTGGGGCTGAGCCGCCGCGGTTCATCTCGAAGCGGGTGGGAATGAAGCCTTGCTGAAGGTGGTCCCTCGGGGACCTGTTGAACGCACTTCTTCAGAAGTTGCTTTTGTTCTGGTGTGTGAATGTGTGTGTTTGTTCCTTCCTGCCATGAACCGTACGAGGCATATTTAGTGTTTGCATTTGTATGCTTGGATGTTTGTAGGCGATGTATTTGAGACCTGCGGTGTTTGCAGAATCATCTTCTCCTGGTTAGGAAGCTGCTTGGTACTTACTGATCATGGCAGTCGTCAAGAGGAAATAAATAGTGAAGTGCTTCATAGAGTCTGCTTGAGGGCTAAAGTGATGTTGTCATGGCTGGAAAGTTAATAAATTTGCTAGCTTAAGAAAGGCTTGGTAAAATAATCAGTCTCTAAGACGTCAGAGACAGGTTTTGGAATGCTTGGAACATCTCCCACCAGTTGTTTTGTCGCATATATGTTGTGCCTTTGTAACTTCTCAGCCTAGATGATGCTTGTAATGGTGTGAAATGAAGAGCATGAGAAAGAAGACAGTGAGGAATTCAAGGGTGTTATCTTCCTTTTTTTTTTTTTTTTTTTCTTTTGAGGGACCTCTTATTAACCTGGTGGGGTTTTTACTTCAGTTTGGTTTTGTATTTGCCTCTGCTTAAAAGGGTATTTGGAGGTTCCTGTGCTTCTGCATAAGATTTCTGTGCGTTCAGAGGGCTATCAGAACTGCACACCAAGGATTTGAAAGGGAAGTTGGCTGGTCCCTTTTGAGGCTTGACCCAGCAGTCTGTACTGGTGTCTTCAAGGATGCTTTCATCAGTTACAGGTTGGATGGCATACAGCCTTTGGTGGCACAGGTGATAAGAACATCTACAAGACTATTTGATCAGAAGCTGTATGACAGGGTAACATACCTGGAACAGAGTCTCAAAGTGAACCAGCTTCTAAATGGACCTAGCTATCTCCTCAAATTCATGGGTGATAGGAAGACTATGATAACAGATATATGACAGTGTTTCCACCAGAGCTGCCTTTGAAAATTTTTCTTAGTGGTCTCACGTTCAGCCAAGACAGTAGCAGTCTAAAACAAGTCCTGCCTTTCTTGGTGGAGGCACTTGCCATCCTATAATCTCTGCTGATGTTCAAGTCACAATTTTTAGGAACTTTATCTAATTTGACCTCTACACGTGTTCTGAGGCAAGGAATAGGCATGTATCACAGTGTCTGAGTATTACCTATGTAAACTGTTCTTTGTTTACTAGTTTTGTATTTTGGCTTTCCATGGTACAGGAGTTGGCTATCTTTTGGTCTTTTATTTTATTGCTTGTACATTAACTTAGAGGCCTTTGCCCTGCAGTCATCTACATCTCTGTGGTGGTCACATGCTTTCATTTGCTCTGTTGCTCTAAATAGCAAAACAAGGTCTTCCTTAGAGACCTCCTAGCTGTGTGACAGGCATAGGAACAAAAAATAGCACCTCTTCATCTGTTTCCTCTTATTTGTTTTTGATGGAAACTGTAAAATTAAAGTTTAGTTGGAGTGATCAAGAGCATGAGTGAAAGGACTGGACCAGTGTAGCACATCTGTTTTCATTAAGAAGGAGGCTGAAATAATTATGGCTTGTGCCAGGAGAGTGGAAGGAGCATTTGGTAGTGAACCGATTGATGTTATAGCTGCTGCTCTGTAGGCACATTACAACTTTTAAATTGCATTTATTCTGGTAGTAGTGGTCGTTGGCTGTTAATCAGCTCTGGCTCAGTGGAAAACTGGTGATTGAGTTATTTGTAGTCATGTGGAATGGGAAGATGTGTGCTCCTCGATTGGTGCTGATGATGAGAAGTGTGTGGGCCCTCTAGCCACTCTCTTGATTTAAATCCTTTCCTCATTTGAGATTGTGTTCAGCAAAGAAACATCTAATAAGGCTTGGTACAGACACTTAATGGCTTTTTAATCAATGAGTTACTCTTTGTTTAACTTCTGTTGCTGAACTGGGCAGCAGAAGAGAGACAAAAAATAGGTTACTCAACAGGAAGTTGTATTTCAGCTATACTTCCACCTGCAAACCTGGTTTTACCTTGCTCCTTCTCATTCTTATATGTTCAACAGTGTTAACAACAGATCAAATATATGTGCTTGACTTGGGACAAATGCAGTATGCCAGACTTAGCTATCAGTCATAATAAATACTGTTGTGTTACTCTGATTTATTTTATGTACATTTGGATAAATTAAAGTATATTATCCTCTTAGGAAACTATTGTAAGAAGACGTCCAGGAATTCATATGACAGTTGGACACCGAAGGCTATTTAAGCTTTTTTGAAGAGAGGGATCACAGGAAGTTGTGTATATGAAATATTGCTGAAGTCTGTGTAATATTTATAGTTTGGAGTACCAAAATGTTTTATTAGGTGCTTTAAGAAGTTTCTCTTATGGCATCTAAATTAACCTCTGCTTCTTTTTTTAAAAAATATGTTTTCAGTTTTATACTACATCTAACCAAATTTAGCTTTTTTATTTCTTTGAATCCATGAATCTTAAAACTACAGGAGATTCCACACTTCCTGCTTTTAAGGTTTATAATATTTTCTTTTTAACTTTTTACTATTTGGAATTGCATATTTAAATCCCTGAAGCAGAGCTGTATTTGAGAAGTGTCAAGATAACTGAGTGACACTGACCTTTGAAATTCTTGTATTTTGAAGTAATTTGGGTAGAAGTTTTATTGGGAATAGTATTGCAGGTTCAAAGCAAGCTTAGAAATTCCTTTTTCATCTTTGTTTGCCATGGCAACAAATTGTCTATTTTTTTTTTTTTAAGAGACCATCCATCTCTTAAGATGTTCTGGTTCTCCTACCTTCCGTAGTTTTTTATATATCTTCCAGTAAGGAGTGAAAACTCATCTCTCTTCTACCATGTGTGATTGACATAGGAGCTAACCCCTTGTTTCTGCAAGAAGTATGGCACTACATACTTCTACTTGCTATAAAATTCAACTATGGACTTTTCCCTTGCTATGTAACATAATTAACTTAAGAATTACAAATTACTAGAGCTAAGAGAATAAGGAATAAAACTATTACATTAAAAATATACTTGCATTTGATGTTATGCTGACTTTTGGAAACCTTTTCTGGTGGTTGCAGGAAGCACTTTGGTATGGACCGATTTGAAGATTCCTCAGATGGTGAAGTGGATCACACTTTCTATGAGAGTGATTTTGGAGAGGAGGAAAAGAAAACTGAAGAAAATGGTGAATATATAGAGAAAGGAAGTACAAAGGTAGCTCATTCTGACCCTGACTTGATTGCTAGTTCAAAGGATGCAAACTGTTGTGAGGAGGAAAATGAAGAGAAGCAGGAAGATTTGCAGAAGAGTCAGTTCCTAGAAGATAGCACAGACAATCCTGGGGACGCTTCATCTTTTTTACTTCCTCCAGTTCATGAGAGTGCAGGCACATCTGGAGCAACATCTGCAGCAAGCAGGAGAATGCAGGAAAATGTTCCTGCTGGAATCCCTGAAATAAATTATTATACGGATGAAGAAGGTAGTAGTGATGATGGCAGGAAACAGAAGATTAGACCAGAATCAGCTAAGCAGTCCTACAATGTAGGAGGGGCTAGGAGAACATACAGTACTACCAGTTCCTCTTCCTCATCTTCAAGCTCAGATACAGATTCTGATAGCTCTTTATCAGATTCATTGCATTATTCCTCCAAGAGAAATGCTGGTAGTGTGGCTCTTCCATCTCCAAAAGAAAGATTTGCATCAGCAATAAAATTACCAGAAGGAAAACCAAAGCTTGGAGACCATGTGGAGGACTCTGAAGATGCAGGTACTAATATAACATCCCTGTCAATTCCAGACAGCAGTTTCACTCAGTCTTTTGAATTTGCAGCTTCAAATGTTAAGAAAGTAAAAGGAAAAAAGAAAAGACAATGTGAGACAAGAATTATATGTACATTTTGAAGAATTTCAGTACTATGAAATGTTTGAATACTCTAAGGCTTCAAAATACAGTTTTGCAAATATATTATTTTTATGTATTTTTATTTTTTCTTTTTCATTTAGAATCCAAGTCTGATTTCAGCAGCAATGGCTTACATGATGGTATGGATCTGAATCAGCATTTGAAAGGTGACTTTTAAATATATTTATCTGTTTTAAAAACGTATAGTGTTTTTATGTTGTTGAGAACAATATAGGAATGCATTTAATGCAAGAGAAGATTAGGGATTTTTTTGAGCCAGATAATGGCCAGATAATTTCAACCCTAATTTGCTACAGTGCGGTAGAGCTGGTGTGATTACAGCTGTATATTGTTTCCTTACTTTATGCCTTGCTACACTGAGCCTACAGTAAGGAAGATTTCAAAATATGTTGTATGCATCATTTAACTTTCCTGTGAATAGGAGTGAAATTTTCACTTCCATGAAAATTCTTCTGATTGTAAGAAAAACAAAGCTAGCTATGAAGATTGTGATAGAGAAGTCTTATTTGACAGTCCTTGTTTTACAGGAGCTCCTTCCTGCTAGGAAGAGCTCCAACCGCTTGCTGAAACATCATGTTTCTAGGCAATTAAAGTTGCAATGTCCTGCATCTTTATTTATTCCCTGATATGAAGAAACTACTGAACAACTGATGATTATGGAAGGATTCATCACATCCCTGAAATAAATGGTTATTATTGGTTTAGAGTAAGTATTTTCAGAGATTAATTGCTTTTTGGAGGAGGGGGGCTTTTCCCAGAACAAAAACAAGATGTAAATAAGAATAATAAAGATTGAGTAATGAGTAATAGAGTTCTGTGATTCTACAGAGAAGACTGAGAGGGGATCTGATCACATTTATAAATATCTGAAGTTCGTGAGGAAGTTGAATGAAGCCAGACTCTTGACTGTAGTGTGTAGTGATAGAATAAGGAGCAATGACCTGTCTGGATGCCTCCCTGCATGGCCATCTGCATGAGCAGATGGATTATCTCTGGAAGTCCCTTCCAACCCCTGCAATTCATATATGATTCATATAATCTGGCAGTTAATGTTCTTGATTAGGATGTGTATTACTCCCAAGAGCCTTGCTACCTTGGCAAGCATGATGTAGGTTAATTAGTTTAGGTAATTTGGATTTTAAATGGGCAAGCTTATTGATGGTGGAAAGTTAGGAGCTGATCTTATTCTTGATTATTATTTCGAGGTATTTTCTTGACAAATAGGAATCACTTCCCCCTCTTCCTTCTCCTGATGTTCCGCATGAGATGTTCATCAGCACTGAAAAGACATGGGCATTGTTTCAAGTGACAACAGTGTCAGCCCAATTCTGTGTCCCTGAATCAGTATTTAAATGATCATCAGGATTTCTTGGTTTTAAAGTGTAAAATTCAGTAGTCTACACTGATAAAACATTTAGTTCTTTTTTTTTTTTTTTTTTTTTTTTGTTGAATTACAGCTAGGCCTAAGCATTTATAGCATTATGTGAGTCTCATTTCCCAAGGTCCCTGAAATTTGCAGGATTTCAGGGTAGCCTGTTACTGCATTGTGTCTAGGGGGCACGCAGCAATTTATTTCATAGGACTCTGCACTGGTAACATGAGCACTTGGAAGACCCAAATCTCTTGCACTAGAAAAGACTTACAAAAACAAAGAAAGGGTAGTAATCTGTTAAAAGTGCATGATGTCCTAATGGCAAGTCTTGCTTTAGAACAGCAGTCAGGTTATTAAGCAGTTCACAAAATGTGAAATATAATTCATTTGAGGTGTTTTAGAAAAGTAATTTAATTAAAAATGTGCTGGAATTAGTTTTTTGTGGCTTTTCCTTTCAAAACTAGTAACAATTCTACTTGTCTTTTTGGGCTTCTGTGCAACCTGAACATGGAAGAAGGGAATGAAATATGACAATGCAAAAATTAGCAAAAACTTGTTGCTGGAAATGCTTACTGAAAATTACATGTTAAAAAGATAGGAATAGAAATTTGAAGATTTTTCTGTTATTGTTTTATTAGATTCTATCTCTTGATCCAATGTCCTGTGTTATTTTAAGGATTTGAGCTTGTGCAACTGATGAGCTGGGTTAGGCAAAAAAAGAGAACTAAATATCCCTCCATTCTTATTCCATTGTGCTGAGGACTTAATCCCTGGTTTTAGACATATCTTTTCATTTCCATGGTTCAGAATTCAATGGTATGCCAAAAATGTTATGTATCACCTTGTCTGAATGTATGTTGACTGCGAATCTGATTATAGTGGGATTGGGATTGCCCAGGGTATTCAGAGCACTAAAGAATTTAGTAGTTTGTATTTTCTTTTCTGTAAAATGAGGTTGATACCTACTTATTTCACAGAAGTGTCTGTGAGAATTAGTCTGTAAATCCATGGTATTAGCTATTATTAACCTGAGGAAGTGGTGTGGTGGGTTAAGTAGGACATTAGGCTGCAGACTGAGGACTTGAACTGCTTGATGCTCTCCCTGACCTGTATGCTCTCTGACGAACCTTTTTGCCCTTTTCTCTGCCTCAGATTTTCTGTCATAAAAAAAGTATAGAGAATCACGTGGTGAAAACCACTGTCATGTCAGTATCATTACTATGAAAATAAAAATCCTGTGTTTCTGAATAAAGTTATTGTAAAAAATTAAATAGAAGCTTCAACTGAACTGCTTTAACTTTTTATCTATAATTTGTCAATTAGGCAAGTAATTTGTTAATAACTGAAATTTTCTCTTCTTAGGGATATCTTTCCCATGTGCTCGTTCATGCTGAGCTTATGCATTTGTACAATGTGTTGAACAATATCTGAAGTACTGAAGTATATACATCGACCCCTAAACTTTCTGGCTGGGCTAAACACAAATAGCTTTCTCACTAAGTTTTTGTATGTTCTTAATTTGAACTGTGAGTATAAAATAGTATGCATCTATACACACATCTAACTACTTGCATTGAGGTAGAAGCCAATATTTGCTTTTCTTATATTTAGAGCTTGAAAACCTGCTGGAGATGTTAATGATTGTGAAGCAATCCAGTCTATGCTAACATCACAAATGTGTAATTTTGGAAAAAATTAAAATTGCACCTGTACAGTATCCTTTATCTTCCTTATGACATTAAGAAATAATTAGCAACTTTATTTTAAGCATACAGCTTTGAAGAGGAAAATTTATACTCAAAAAATCACTTTTTCCTTTTCTTCAACAAATAACAAATGAGGCTTCTGTAAAATTCTTTAAAAAAATCTAGCATAAAATAGTGGATATTGAAGGAAGTAAAGTGTAGGAATGCTACAAGATTTGGATGAACAGACACTTCTGAGGAATTGATTTAATCCTTCTGTGTTTTTCAGATTTGCCATTTGTGTATGAAACACTCCTGAGTTTGCTGGTGCTTTAAGCACTGAAGCAACTTAATGCATTTTTCCCTCTGGATCTTCAGGAGTGAAACATGCGTGGTTTAAGTTCAGCCTCAGTGCCACTAAGACAGTTATATCATCCTGTCCTAATGCATTTGACTTGCTAATTATCATTTGAATTTTATGTAAGGTTTGGCTGGTTTTAGTCTTCAAGGTCATTTAAATGCTCACAAATTGAAAACAGTAAACAGCTTGTTTATTGCTCAGAAGGGAGTCAGGTGTCTCCATGGAAACCAGCTTTCCTAGAAATTCCATGAATACCACAGGGAAGTTTCTTTTACCATTTATCAGTAATTGAGAAGTAGAACTCCATGCTTTATGCAACTGCTGCTGTTCGTTTTCTTCTTTCCCCCAAATAACTGATTCATGGTTCAGAAGCAATGAAGCACTGAGTAGGGATCTGTTTAAATAACATAATTTATTGGTAGAGTTTGAAGGTACAGATGAACTGTTCCAAGATTCAAGGGAAAGGACAAATCTCAAACTCTTCACAACCTTAAATAACTTGAAACTTCACTTGCCTCATGTTGTCACTGGCCACTGCAGAAGCAGTCAAGTCATTAATCCCAACACCTAAGTATTTTAATTAGCAACAGAATGGTTGGACTCCCCCTGTGGCAGGGAGTTGGAACTTGATCTCTGAGGTACCTTCCAACCCAAACTATGATTCTATGACTGGATTTTTAAGATCCCTTCTAACCTGGACTGCTTGATTCTAAATTGTTCAAATAACTTTGAAACTCAAATAACAGTAACTGTACCTGAAGTACTTAAGAGCATTTAGAGTAAACGTGTTTACTACTTTTGTGGGATCATGACTCTTTTTTTTTGTTTATTTATTGATGATGAATTGTCTGTGCTTCTGTTGGTTTGTGTAGACTTTGCTTAGGCACCTGCTGCCTTTATTGTGAAAGTGTTTTTGTTGCCATGAAATTGGGAGCATGTTTAATACATTTGGGTATGCATACCTGTTAATTGTATAATTTTATGTCATAGTAATTGTGGAGGGAAAAGGGATGTTTGGCAGTGTAAATAGTGTTTTATAGTAGTGCAGCTTGGACAGGTTTTCAGCTAGATAGCTTTGGGAATAAGCTATTGCTGTGGATTAGAAGTTGCAGGGTCGGAAGCCTCATTGCTGTCACAGCTTGAGTACTGCTGGAAGTGGTGATAGTGAGTGGCTGACCACAGAAACATTATCACTACTATTTTGGCAAGTCTTACACACTTTTTTTTTTTTTTTTGCTTTCTTAGATTGCTACTATGACGACTTATTTAACTGTAGTTCAAGAAGCAGAAGCAGTGTCTTTACATATGTCCTTAGTATTTTCCTTGTTTTGATAGGAACAAGCACTTGCCCTGTAATACTTGCGATTCTCTCTCAGGAAATTATGCGTTCTGTTGCTTCTCTTCCTCGGAAGGTTAGTAATACAAAGATCTGTTGAGGAACTGAAGGAAGTAGGGAGGAGCTCTTTGAGATTAATCTCTGTGCCCTGTGCTGTTGAGGAAAACTTGCTGTTGTACGTGTTTGAAATTCAGGTAGGAAACGTGAGTCTTCTGTAACCCAACCAGTTACCAAGAGTTTAATTATTGGGTTTTAGCAATCATCTGCTCAGATGTTATCAAGCAATTTCACAGCAGAGCTTTTGTGGTGGTTGTAGTAGTTCATTTTCCTTTGTTTCTTTTGAGTTGATATGGTCACTCTTTGGAATTTTCACGGGGTATTATTTAGAGGCATAAATGCAAGAGGTAGCATAACCAATAGATAGCTGGGATTGTTTAGCTTGGAGAAGAGAAGGCTCTGGGGAGACCTCATTGCGGCCTTCCAGTATTTGAAGGGAGCATATAAACAGCCATTTCCCTTCCTATTTATGAGGGTGGATAGTGATAGGACAAGTGGGAATGATTTCAAACTGAGATGGGAATAGTATGAGATAATAGAAGGAAGTTTTTCACACAGAGGGTGGTGACACACACTGGAACAGGTTGCCCAAGGAGGTTGAGGATGCCCCATCTCTGGAGGCATTCAAGGCCAGGCTGGATGTGGCTCTGGGCAGCCTGGTCTGGTGGTTGGCAACCCTGCACATAGCAGGGGGGTTTAAACTAGATGATCATCATCGTCCTTTTCAACTCAGACCATTCTACAATTCAGTAGCATTAGGGACACAAAGCCGGGTCAGGACTTCAGCCAAACAGTTGAGCAGCTCCTCTTTGCCACAGCTTGCCTTCCACTCGCATACGATGTGTAGTCTTGCTCAACTCATGAGATGCAATGGCTATAAGGCAAAAGGTGATACTGTGTCTCACAGCTTCGTGATAAAATTATACGATGTGGCTCCATGTGAAATGTACAACTGTCCGGAGTTATTTATTACAAGTTACTTTTTCCAGCTATGTTCTGCAGTGCTAGTTTTACGTGTTCTCATAAGAAAAAAGGAATCAAATATATCCTTAAGTATATGATGGCTTGATATTACCCTGTGAACAGTGTGCTACTAGTTATTCTCCATGCATTTCTTTCTATCCTTTGTAGGTTTATCCAGATGTGATTCTTATCCCAGGTTTGTCTCCTAAATGGCTTTGATAGGAGCACTAGTTTGTTCTTGAGAATAACTTGCTAAATTGTACAAGTGCTTATCAAGTGACATTCTCTTTTAACCTGTTGGTTGGCACACTTGATCTGCACTGTTTTGCATTCTTTTGGATTTGAAGTGATTTGCATCTTTTCTTGACAAACTAATAAAGCAACATTTGCTATTACAAATGGTGTTGTGGTTACAGTTGCCTAAGGGCAGTTTTTGCATGCATTAGCCTGCGTGCTGATGGGTCAAAGTCATCGATTTCCAGATGGATTCCAGAATTCATGAACTACTTGAATTTAGAATTCCAACTCCTCCTTTAAAAGTGGCAGTACTTGCTTGCATCAGTTCTGGAATATAATCAGTTGAAATATTTCAATAATATTTTTTTGTCTTGTGCTACCAATACAAGCATAAGATAAATGATAACCACTATGGTGATTATAATTGCATGCATTGTTACTTCAGTGCTTTGTACCAGTAGTCCATTAGCATGTATAGATAAATGCCTATGCTGATGGCTAGTCCTGTTGGAACTCAGTAAATATCTGAAGATAGAATTTTGTGTGTGTTGCATCAATGCATGATGGTGACAGTAGAGATTGAGGTGATCACATTGAAATGGATATCAGAAGTACTGCCCATTTAGAAGAAATGATCATGCACAGTAAGTTGATTGACATCTTTATTCCTAAATAGCAAATACATCTGACTCAGTCACTGTAGAACATCTGAGCGTTGCTGATCGTATTGCAGTGAGTTCGGTTGTATCCATTCAGCTCCTCTAAACTACTAGTTCAGCTCCTCTAAACTTACTACTACTTGTAAATGAGGAGGAGGTGCCTAGTGAGAAGGATGTATCTGGCCAACCTTGGGCTTGATTTTTGCAGTGAATCTTGTATAATACTAAAGTATTGAGGAAAGCATTCAGTCCTGAAAAATTGCAAAACACATGGATCTGAAATTCAGATGGGGGAGGAAAAGGCACTTCAGTTTTTCATGCTTGTAAATAAACCCTAACATTTTCATTCATCCTTTTTAAAGAAAATCTACTTTTATTTCTGCCATTCTAAAGCTGCTCTACGGTTGGAGAGTGGAGAACAGCGAAAACTAACTGTAGGTCATACATCTGGAAGAACAAGGGAGAAATTTTCTGCCAATGAAGAAGTTAAGTATTGCTCTGATTTAAAAGCTGCTCTGGAGTTGAGGGGTAAACGACAACAAAAACTGGGCATCATTCATCCATCTAGAGGAACAAAGAAAAATTATTCATTCACAAATGAAGAAGTTAGACGAATTGATCAGGAAAACCAAAGGCTGCTGCATGAATTGGCCCGGCTGTGTGCGACACCAGGAAGCAGAACAAACATGCTAAAGAAGTCGGCTTCTCCATCTCTTCAAGCGTACCACAGTGCCATCAACAGGCAAAAAGAGCAGCAGAGGATTGAAAAAGAAAACCTGGTGAGTTATGAGGACTGTTTATTATTAACAAATCACTGCTAAATACTTAAGAACTGATTAGGCAGCAATTCAAGTTTCATTGCACTAAGTCTGCAATGAATTTCCACAACTATGCTGTTTGTATAATTGTAAATTATGCTTTATTTTCAGATGAAAATACATTTTACTTAGAGTGTGCCATACTTTTTAGAGCTATTCAATTTAAGGGTAATTTTCATTTCCATTGTCACAATTTTGCATAGCAGTCAAATTCTGTTTGTCCTACTTTATGCATTACAATTACTGATTTTTTTCAAGAACAAGCTTGCAGAATATAAAGCAATGGATATGACAGCATCAAACCCATTACATTTGAAGCAGGAAACAGTGTGAACGCCACTTTTTTCTGAATCGTAACTATCCATCCATTGCTTTCCATATTTGTAGCTCTGCTTTTCTCATGTACAGGAGCTCCTGTATGTATATACAGGAAGGCAGCTCATACTGGCTCTCACCAGTAGAGGACGCTGTTGATTGAGCAAACCTTTTCCAAAGGTATGGTCAGTGCTGCTTTCCCATGGAAATGGATTGAAGTGTGACTGATGGGTTACTCTTTTCTCATGTCTGCTTGGACTCACCACTGATACATGCTTATCTCAGTTTCTGCCAGTAAAAGTGTAAAACTGAGCTTCAGAGGCTGAAAACTATATGTCCTGTTTTGATCTTTTAGTGGTTTGTGCGGTGCACAATCTGTATAGTATATCAATGTAAATATTTATAGGCCTTTTAAGGTCAGATTTTCAGCCACTACATCTGTATAATCAGCGAGTATACAGAGAAGTTAGGCAGGTCTTTAGAGAGTGTATATCTTGAAACATTATGACGTTGGAGAGGGCTAATTGGAAATGAATGGAGAAGCTTACCCGTGTCCTGGGCTTGCAGAAAAAGACTCTGAGAGGAGCGATCTCCAGGGAGAGATCCTTTCTAGTGGCAGTGAGCCCTTAAGTGGGGTCTGGGAGAGGTGCAGCCAGGCTCCACCCCTTCCAGTCACACAGGTGAATTGTCTTCACCTTTGCTCCTGTGGCTGACTCATTGCTTGTCTCAGGTGATCAATCAGAGGTTCAGGCTGTGATTCAACAGAAACACAATATAATTCCTCCATCACTTTATCTAAACTTAGTTGTGAGTAATTTGTATCTGCTTTTTTGTTGTTGAATAGTTTGTTTGTTTCTCAGACTAGAATTTAAGTGTGCTAGCAGGTTAGCTCACTTAGGTCACCTGTGTTCATCCAAGTTCCTTGTGGACAGGTGGGGTTTCAGCTGGAAGCTGAGTGGAAAAATCTTAGCAGGTCAGGGAACTGGGTCGACAGTTCCCAACCTTAGACCAAGAGCAATGAGGGTGTTCTCCTTTGCTGTGGCATTTGGCCTTTCTGTGCATCCCTGTGAATTCTTCTGACCCATGCTGTTACACCTCACTGTACATAACAGTCAGTGTCATTCATTCCCTTGTGTTGTACTCTCCTGAAATGTACTCTGTGTCCCAGCGGATACAACTGATCCCAGCTCTAGTATAGTCAGCCTCCCACACCCATCAGAAAATTGGCTTACTGTGTTTCCCTGTAGGGGCTGGCTTCCTTTTCCATATGCTTGGTTCTGCAGACCCCGATGCTGCAGCTGTCACTAGAGCTTTTACCTCCTACTTTGCCTGGGCATTGTGGCCTCTACCAGTTGCAGAGATCCTTGAGCCAAACTGCTTCCTTTCTCCTGCACCTTGAGCTGCTTTTGTCTTGTTGGCTAATCTGAGCTTCCTTGAAAGAGGAAAAAAGAAGCACTTTGCAGCTGCCATAATATGTGCATTTATCTCCAGCTGATTCAAGAGTGCTGATAGGTTGAGATATTCAGGGGGGGGAAGGGGAAAGGGAGTGAGTGTTTCTGGCTATCACCACATACAAAGAACGTGGTTTAGCTTGGGCCACAGCCTTTAGTCTTGTGCTGCACTGCAGCTCCTGTGATGTCCACATCATGCTGCAGAGGATACCACTTCTTGGTGTGGAAACAAGACTAGGAGGACATGAGCACACTCTAGTTTTGCCCAGGCACTTCATACCTTCCTCATGAATTCTGTGCTGCTTCTGCCTTCTTTCCATCCCTTCCCCAAGGACCATTCCCAAATCTGAGAGCACCACACCTCAGATATCACATACTTAATGTGATTAAGTAAGAAGAATATTGAGGTTGCTTTGCCTTACTGATCTCTTTCTGGAAGAGCTGTAGGAAACCGTCCTCTTAAGAGGTCAGAAATACTGGCACTGGGCTTGGATGCTCCTTGGAAACTCAAGCATGCAGGGTTCTGTAAGATGTTGGAACTTAGTACATTCAAAGTCATATTATGCTAAGACTAACATGAAACAAAGGTAGTTTTCAGGATTATTAAGTACAATAAAAACAAACAAAAAATTGTTTCCGTGGCTTTTGTTAAGGGAAGCTATTCAGATGTGAGATTGGTATGCAGATGCACCTGTCTAAAGTAGACTGCTGTAGAGTGTACATGTAGTGCAACTCTGCATAGTTCTGAGGCTGTAGGCTCTTTGTGCTGATTCCTTACCCAGACCTGAGAAAGAGGTCTGGATAAGATAAAAACTCCCTAATTACCAGGTTGGTTTGGTTTTTTAGCACTGCTTAGTTTGGTGGGGTTTTTTTCCATCTTTTGTATTCTCCTAACTTGCTTGCTTTCTGTGAATGGCTGCTACAGATCAACATGGCATTTCAGTTAAAAGTACTTTTCTGTAGACTGAAGAATTTTAAGAGGTTTCTGATGTTAAAAGTTTGTGAAGTTAGAGCTAAGAAATGTACCTGGCAGTTGGAGGAACTTACAAGCCCTCTTGTTAAGAACAAGAAGTTGTCCCTGAATGCACTGTTATATCTGCTTCACCCTCCCCCACCTGGGCTATGCATAGGGACAGTGTGTTTGCTAGTGTGAGTGACATTAGAGGAGGCATAATATAAATAAATCTGAACAGCTGTCAAGGCACACTAGTCAGCTGGCTACAATTCAAAGGTGGTGAAAACTGAAGCCTTCGTATGTTTAAAAAGATAAGTAAAACAAGATAAGGTAGCATCTTTTACCTTGGAAGGCTTTTCTCCAAGATAGGAAACTGTCAGTGATGTTGTTACATCCTTTTCCATGACAGAGAAGAAGACAGTAGTGAAAATAGTTGACTTTCAGAATGGTACTGCAATCGTATTGAGCTTGAATCAGACGCTCTGAGCAGCTACTAGTAAGTGCAACTGATAGATTGCTGCATTTATGTTTGTTATTCCGTTTTCTCTGTAAATCCCATCAGGAACACATCTTTGTCTCTAAGCACCTGGATTACTTAGTGTGATTTGATTCTTTGCTCGTTAAGGTCAATGACAATTTCTATTACTTCAGTAGTTCAGGATTAAGACTACAGAGATTTAGCACTTCAGAACAAGGAAAGTGCCAGTGTTCTTCAATCCATTTCTCAAAATGCTCTTTTAAGGAAAATATAGTGGAAGAATTAGCAGGTTTAAATGTGTAATTGAAAAAGAACATTATTTGTAGAAGGTAATTCCCTGGTACACAAGACAATAGGCTTGTTAGTAGAAAAACATAAGAATTGGATTAGATATGTAATAGACCTAACCAGATCAAGTCCAGCAATTTAGTGTGTTAATGAGTGCACATCTGTATGAAGAAGGCGGTGTCAAAGTGCAGGATTCACAACCACAACTAGCATGTAAGTTACATGTCTTTGGTACAGTGCTCAGCAGAGGGTAGTGATGCCATGAGAGCTATTTTCTAGCTCTACAGAAGCTTTTCTTAGAGATGGAGTTACTTGAACACTGCACAATCTGCTCTTTCTGCAGGTAAGGGTTGTATGATGTCAAGTCTTAACCTCTTCAAAAAACAATCTTCGTACTGGGAGTAGTCTGTCTTTGCTTTTAGTAATGTGGGCTGGATGCTTTTTAAAATACAGACCTAATAGTAAAAGCAGAATTGTATTTAAACTGGGATTAAGCAGATGTATTCAAATTCATGTGTTCAGAATCAAGCTTGGAATTATTGCAGTATTAAGGTATGCAGATTCTGAGGCTATTAGGCATGGAGTGCAGACTTAAAATGACTTTCACAGGCAAGAGAAAGTTGCTTCTACTATTTACCCATTTATGACAACGCTGACTATTTTGAGAGCTTCCTTTTATAATATAGAAGATAAATGTTCTTTGCAAACCCATATGCATGTAGTTGTGGTAGAAGATGGTGGTGAACTTGCGTGTAAAACGTTGGATGTAACATTTAGAAAGGTCTACCATTTTGTGTTCTGTAATGGGCTTTGGTGAAGAGCTATTTCTAGCTGGAGTCCTTCCTTTGACTTCTGCTTACTTAGGTATTTCCACTTGAGAGTGAACTGGCTGGCACTCGATGCAGGAACTTGTGACATACTATGCCTGAGCCAAAATGGCTTGTCCTTTCTCTCTTGCGCACTGTGCAGGTTTCCTGTGTATAAACTCTTGGTAGTTTGTACATTCCCATTACAGCTGGACAGTGGCAACTAACATCTCGTGAATACCATGCACTTTCCCAAATCACTTTCTGTGACTTTTTTCTTCTAAAACAATGAAAATACTGTTTTAACAAAACAGAAGTATGCAAACAAAAAAACCCACAAACAGTAACAAAAACCTAACCAGAACCTGGGAGTAGATGGTGGGGGGGGGGGGGGGGGGGGGGGGGGGGGGGGGGGGGGGGAGATGATCACTTCATATAAAATGCAGTTTAATGGCTATGTGGGTTCTTGATGTCTACCATGTAAGCAAGCATTTAGATAATGCATCCTTATTAATAGTTGTATCATTTGTCCTTTGGAGAATTGTGCAATTGCAGTTTGCATTGTCTCTCATTGACAGGATGTTTTATAACTTTGACCAGTGAGGTTGTCACTGTCAAATATTTACAGGCCATCCATTCAAATTAAATTAGATTAGCGGAGAATGCATAATTTTTTAAAAGCAGGCATTGGAAGCTAAATATATTAAAAACGTGAACTTGTTAATTGGAAGTTTTGTGTAGCAGAGTCCTTCCAAATTTGTCATACTGTAAAGTTCTTTTCTTAGAAAGATGATGGAAAATGGGATGCATTGATTTAAGAATTTCAAGCAAAAGTGATAATGAAGTTTGAGGAAAATGGGTATATCTTTAGAAATATTATGTAGGTAGCTGTTGTGATGTAATGCTTGCTATATAATTGTCAGGGTTGATTTCAGTAAGAGGAAATAAAGTCTATAAGAGATTATAGTTGAAATTATTGTTGAAGTATTCTATGGGTAAGACAGTCATAAAGGCCAAAGTGAAGAAAAAATTTTTAAAAAAAATCCAACGTTGTGCTTTTCTTTTTAGTTTCACAGAATTGAGGTCAGTAGTTCTCTCTAGGAATACTATGTGGGGTGTAGGTGTTCAACCTTGTGGCTTTCCTGGGCCTCATTGAGTGAAGAGGGATTGTCTAGGGCTGCATCTATGAGGGTTGCTCTGAAAGTAACGCCTATTTATTTCCATGGGAACAACAGCAGATACCAAGAGCACAGTAAACTATTTAATAGAGCCTATTCTCAGCTACTGAACCACTAGCTCTGTATTTTCATCAACAATGAACAAGAGCCTGCATGCTGCACTAACAGCAATCTTAACCAGCAAAGGTACTGTCGCTGTTGCTGAAATGCACCACCTACCCCTTTGCTGTGCTTACATCCACTATTTGGTCTCTAGAAATGTGCAGCAAGTATCGATGAGCATCCCCGGGTGCCATTTTCTTTCTGCATGGAGGAATTCAGTGACACACCTTTGCTTCATCCATACTTCCCTGTCAAGAGACCATTCCGTCAGGGTGCCCCTCTGCTGCCATCTGTTTGGGATAGTATGTACTAGTCAGCAGTAAAGTTGTTCATGTTAAAAAATACTGAACATTGGTGCGTTTATTTTTTTCCATTTAAAATAGATATAAGTCTCTGAATGCTTATTTTATAGTTTCTTGTTCATTCTTTCTTGATATTTTTCTTTGATATTGAGGCTTTACTGAAGAGACTGACAGCAGTGAAGCCAACACCTGGAATGAAGCGTTCCGAACAACTGTGGGACTATCAGCGCTATGTGAGCTATGCAACTCCTTCACCATCTGCAAGAGAAGAAAGTTCTCTTTCCAGGCAGCGTGGCCTGTCTCGTGAGTACTCTGAAACTGCAGATTCTTGTGTTTCTTTACCACGTGTTTCTCTGTCATAATTCAGAATTACAATTAATGAGAAAAGTAAATGAATTCCTTTCTGTCTTCCTTAGATTGGTTCATCACAGAGAGATCATTAAACTGATTTTGTTAAGTACGCCAAAAGTATGGTGAACCTCTGAATTGTTTATTTACCTTCTTAAGTTCTAATAAATGGTTTTGTTAAGAATCTTTGCCAAGATGGTTAAAAAAAAAAAAATCATTGTAAATAAATACTTCTCAATTTGTCAGTACTTCCTATAGAAAGGACTAAGCAGGGGGAGGAAGTTCAAACTCTTTTTTAGAAAGTGTAAATTTACTGGTGGTAGCTGTGTTTCTCTGGAAGTAGTGTGTGTGTGTAATATTTGGAAGTGGGTCACTTATCTCCAATGATCCATGTACAGAGAACCACTGCACTGTGGCATATACTCAATATTTTTTGTTTTGACTGTGTACAAATGACTCAATGTTTTAGTTCTGTATTCAACTTAGAATGATTGTGGGGATTTTTTATTATGTTTTGTTTGGGAAATTATGATAATGAATATAGTAATGTGGTATTCTGACATACCCTAGCATAAGCATTAATACTTTTTTGTGTATGTGTGTGAACAGGAGTCCCTTCGAGAGCATACACTGCATCAAGCACAATGAGGCAGAAGAAGGAAAAACCCATGTCAGTTTCACCTACTGGGGCATCACAGAGACCTACGTCCACTAATGTTCATGCTGCTTCTTTGTAAGTGCATGCTTTGCTTCACAATCTGCAATGTTCTATTGGGTTTCTATTTTCAGCAAATGCATGTGTGAAAATATTCTCTATTGTTTAATTATTTAAATGCACAGTAAACTAATTGCTTATTAAATGGTGTTAAGCATACGCTTTTGCATCAATCAGTGTTTCCTGTGAGAGGAAGTATTTACGACAGAGAAGCATTTAAATACATAATAGAAATTGTTAGTCGTTATTTAATTGTCCAATAGTAAGTGGAATTTGTATCCATGACATGGGAGGACAGAATTGCTGTACTCTAGAACTTCATTCCTAGACTGATACTTTTCATCCTGGCCTTAGGTAAGTCTTCTGAATGTTTAGGTCATGTTCAGATGTCTGAAAGAATTTTCCTTTTACAACAGCATAAAGAGGTGAAAAGCTAGAATACTGATGTTGCGGAAGGTGTTACTCTCCATTGATTATAGATGGCTCAAGGTGATGACCATTCATTTTGTATGTAAGGCTGTCTCTCTTCAATATTTAAAAGGATTTTAGAAGTTACACTGGGACCTTTGCATAGGAAAGAAGCATATGATGCTCTTTCAACACCAGAGACTGAAGTTTGAAGTGAACAACAGTTTCAGATTCTTCCCAGGCTAGAGAATAGAAAGGAAATCATTTCATGGCCATGTTTTTGTAAATCCTTACCTACATAAGTGGGGAGATTAAGCTTGAGCTGCAGGAAATTTTCAACACTTGCTTATGAGGGCAACTATTTACCAAGATTAAGAAGAGAAATTAAAAGTAAAATCTTATGCTTCTTAGCCCATTCTTACAATGTTAGGTTCATACCAAATATTTGTAGTAGTATCCAATAGACAGACTTCAGTATTAATGTCCATGTATAAGGGGAGCAAAATTTAATGTGGTTTTCAAAACTTAATGTAGTTGGCAAGTGTAGAAGATGTCATGCTTTATTTCTATCCATGAAGGCAAGCTTAGAGTGCATTTGTTTTGTTGGGCTGTAGTCTTATGAAAAGTATAAATTGTGATGCTACTGTCCTGTAGTTGGAACCCTGCTTGCTTTCCCAACGTCTTCCTGGGAGAGATACGGAAAATCTACTTATTGTGTAAGCAAAAAAGCTGTATTTGGTAGTGTTGTCTTAGCTTTACAAAAAAAAAAGCAAGCTTATAATTCTTTAGTCATGTTTGCACGAGGATCTACACTTTCTGCATTGTAACAAACTTTTTGCTGGGTCCTGTATGGTAGTTTGGCAGAGCTTCTGCACCTTGTGACCTGCAGATCACATTTAGCTGTTTGGCAATATTTAAACTTTTATCTTGAAGCAGCATTGTGGCAAACAGATTTTATTACAATTATTATGTGTTGGTAAGGAGTGTGAGGCATTTGTTTGCATAGTGCTGCTCTGTTTATTTAGAATGTTTTGCTAATTAAAATTATTCACTATTTGAAGACTTCTGTCCTTGAGTGTGAATATCAAGGTCACAATTTAATACTTCTGGATGTTCACATGATAATTCTCTTCTGGAAAGGAATTTCCAAAATGGTTTACTTTTAATCACTTCATTTTATTTAACTTCAGAATGAAATACTGTCAATTTTTTGTCATTTTTGTAAATTGTAAGAAAATCATTAACACGGAATGTTTGCCAATACAGTGAGTTTTCAGAATTCTATATTTGATATTAAGGATGTAATTGGAGAAATGCTTCCACTTACCTGCAGTGGAGGTTGTACTTGTTAGTGACATTGGTGTGTAGTGGATTTATTTGTTTTTGCTTTAAATGAGCCATATAGACAGGTCTTCATTAAGTTAGATATTTTCATCAATTTTTATAACAATAAATTCTAATAGATTTGGGTTTTTTGTAAGCTGTCATTTCATGTTCTCTTCTGCCTTTTTTCTCCTCCCAATCTCTTCAAACAGAAAGTGTAAGCAGCGTCCTTAAATGTTAATTCCTGGGAACCTCAGAGACTTGAGCGAATTGGAAGAATCTGGCAAGGCCTTCCTTCATATGGAGTTTATAGGATTTTCTCTGTACCAGAGCCTATCTTCTGCCAGACTGTTTGCAGCATTTACTGAAGATCCTGAGACATCTCAGCTGTTACCTCTCACTCAGATAAGCATTGACTAGCTACATTTGTCTTTTATGGTGGGTAATTTCCTAATTGTCAGCTAAACACTTTCAGGATAAATCCCTACAAATAGCTGATATTTTTTTTTCTAACATGTCAGCCAATAAAGTTTCCTTGTAACTGCTTTTCCTTATATGCTCCCTCCATCTGTGATGTTTGCCTGCTCAATGTCAGGAGCAAAACAGTGGATGAACCTTGTCATTTCCATTTGATGAATGAGAAATCCAGAGCTGCATCTGGAGCCATCTTCCAGGACAAATTATGGTTGAGATCAGCTTTGTATTCTGTATACCAGGAGGGATTGCTAGTGCTTGTGATGCAGGTCTGGTTTGTCTTCAGGATGTTAGTTCTATTTCCTTGTTCAGGTAAACTTCTATACCTGTCCTGGTAAGTTTCCTCCTGGCCAAAATGAGACAGGATTTGCCAACAGTGATCTTTGCAGCTGTGTTATTTAAAGATCACTTGCTTCTCACACAGAATCCTAAAATGCCATTACTTTTGTTGCAAGCTCTGATCATGTGCAAAAATTGTAACAATCTCCACTGCGTTACATGTGGTGAGAGCTTGGGACAAAAATCACAATTCTCAGTTCTGCCCACACACTTTCTTAAGACTAGAACATACTACTGAGAGATTTTTCTTGTTGAAAGGGAAAACAGGGCTGAGTAGGTCTCTTTTTAGGGTTTTTCTTCTGCTGTGCCTCTCAGCATGCCTTAAATTATTCTGTTTTTTTTTTTTTTTTAAAAGAACTGGTGGCTGCTGTTCCTTTCATAACAAGTCTCGAGCTGAGAATACAGGTTTTCACCTGCAGAAAGGTAGGGAAAACTCTACCTGTGGACATAAATTCTTCCCCTCCCACTCTGTAGCATGCTGTTTCTTTAGAGTGAGATTTACCCTTCAGATTCACCCTGAAGGTCCTAACCTCCTCCTGATCCAAAAGATAAGTGTCTCAGTGCCCACCCTCAGTAGGTTGCATTCTGGGTTGTGTAGTACAGTCCATGCATGCTTGATGGGCTTTGTCTTTCTCTACTTCTAGAATCTCTTACCAGGCTATTCAAGATATTTTTCTACTGTTTGAGTTATAAGGTAATAGTGATGATTTCAGTGCAGGGTTCTGCTGAATAACTGAGGTGCAGATGGATTGAAGTGGGACTAGCGAAGGGCTTATTTCACTGTAGTAGCAAAGTATCTGCAAAACTGCCTGCTCTCCAGCTTTGCAGAGAGCTGGATTGTATATTGAAGGAACAGTGCTGCTTTTAGTAGAGTAGCTTTTCAGTTGATGGTTTTGAATTCATACACCAAGTATCTTTGTGGAAAGTGCTGCCTGCTAAATGTCAAAGTGTGTGTGAGCATATAAGTAGAAATAAGGAGTTTCTTACTTGTATTTTATAATGTATTTCACCTACTGTCTCCAGAGGAATTTTCCTGCATTTTTTTTTTTCCTTCTTAATAGCCTTCACTCCTTTTGGTTTTTGTCTTTGTTCTGAAATGTTTCAGAGTATTTTTTTCTAGAATTAAATAAAATCCAGGATATTTATTCTTATTTAGACCCCTCTGGAAATTCTTGTGCTCTCAATTCTTTTAGTATCTATTCATGCATAAATTATCCCTAAAGTCTGTTACCTCTGACATTGTTTCAGTATCTTCTCCAAAATATTTGAATGCTATATGCACCCATATTGGTGAGGTGAAGAGTTACAGTGTGTTGGCAAACTTTCTCTAAGGAATGTGAAAAGGAAGGAGAAAAAGAGGAAAGGCAAGCATGCAGACCATGATTTATAAGACTACTGCAGTAAACACCTTGATTTTCTTCACAACCTTATGCTTCAATAGGTTACAACCCTGGTTATTTGCCACCAGGCAGAAAACAGACCAGGGCTGATCAGACTTCTAGGTGACTGCATTTAAAGAGGCACTATCTCTCATAGGACAGAAGAGGAGAAAGAGCAGAGAATAAGCCTAGAAGCTCAAGAACGAAGCATTTCTCAAAGTCTGTAGTACTACTGTGGTTTAAGCAAAGGAGCTTCCTTTACTAGGGTAACAAGCAGTTACCTGTGTACATCTTTAGATAATTTGAAAATTTATTAAGACCAATTTTCCCTGAACACTGCTATTCTTTGGGTGGATAAATGCCTCCAGATATTACTTTAGTACTTTCTTGCTGCTTTCACATAGAGCAGTCACACCCATAAGGACCATCATGTTAAGTGACAGAGATCTGAAATACAGGAAAGGGATAACTAGATACCAAGGCACAGAACCTGGAGTCTCATAGCTCTCCCTTTTTTCCTACTCATAAAACAGGTAAATCCATAGAGTTCTCAGCTGAATACTTCACTATAAAAAAATGTCATCATGAATAACCATGAAAAGTTCCTAGCAGTCATGTCTAATATTAACCAGATAGTGTCTCTAAATACATTAGTTCTGGTAGACCTGTTCCCTTTACATTGAAAACAACAGGAAGAGTTCATGTATATATTTATTTCATGAGTTCAGTTTTAGTTCAATTGAACATCAGAGCAGACAACTTTTTGCTTTGTGACAATAGGGCATTTTTAACAATATTTCCACCTTCTACAGAGTACAATTGAAAACAGTCATTATGGTCTGGTTTTGACCACAACTGCCAACTTGTCAGTGAAAAGGCAGCAGTTAGGAATTCACAGCCCATTGTTGTATTATAGTTTGCAGATACTTACACTTACATATCAAATTTAAAAAATAACAGCTTCAGAGAAGATGACATGGCTTATAAAATCATGTTGTATCATCATAGTATTGGGTAGCTAGAGATATTATTTAGTATAAAAGGTATTTCTCACTTTGAGTTTACATCAGATTTTAAACTAGGTGTATACCACCTATATCTTGTCTCTAGTCAAAATGCTTTACCTGAAATTTGAAAGGGTGTAATATATACACAGCTTCCACTATAAATGTTGGAGGAATTTCCATACAAAGTGCAACTGTGCTGTAGTGGACAGATTTTAAATAAATGCATCCCTCTCTCAACTGGATGTTACTCAAGTCTTATTCTGTTTCCCTAGGAAATATTTTGTTGTCCATTACATCACAATAGGTATTTTAAAAAGTTAATTGAGAACAACTGAACTACATTAGGATGTTAAGTTTTAGACATACTTCTTGATTTCATCATAAAGTACTAGTACAAAAGCTCCACCCATGCCTCTCAACACATTTGACCAGGCACCTTTGAAGAATGCTTTGGATCCTTCATCTTTTGCTATCTTCTTCCAGCAATCAATTGTGCCCTTGTACATAATATCAGCTGTGGAAACAAATGAAGGTCATAAGGTTGAGCTACACAGAAAGTCTGTTTCAACTTTTTTTATATTTAGAAATACAGGCAGGGATGAACAAAACATAATCAAGAACTTCAAATGAAATAATCAGTTCACAAAGTCATTTTAATTCACCATATGAAAACTAAAATGAACACTCAGTCTCATAGACGCACACATTGAGATAACCAGAAATTACTGCAGAGCGTACTAAGACATAACCAGAAGTTTCCTGTAGAGCTGTGGAAAACCAACAACCCTTTTACAGAAATCCCTCACAAAAGCGAAACACCACAACACCACTACCTTGCACCTAATGAGATAATATACTTTAATCCTTTAATGAAATAATACTGCCAGAATGCCACAGGAACAAACTTATTCTTACCTCCCTTTCGTCCAGACTGCATCATCATCCTACGTCGCACAGTATCGAAAGGGTACGAAACCAGCCCTGCTGCTGCAGTGACACTCTGGGCAATCATCCAGCTCACTATGATGTGCACATTCTTTGGATCAGGCAACATACCTGCCACCAAGAACAAATTATGAGTCAGTACAGAAGGAAAGCATTATGAGAAAGATGGCTCTGGAAGGAGCAGTCACCCTCCAAACCCAGAAGTCAGTCTAGTCAATAGGAACATGCCTGCAACTTTGCACTTCGTATTTGACAATGAACAGCTGCTGAGCGAAAGAAGTTTATAGGATTATGGTATTTTGTGATCTACAGACCACTTGGCACTCCCTGACCAGAAGCTCTCATGCACAGCCCTCTGTGGGCTTCAAGGAGGGACAAGCTCCCATGTAAACATTTAAAAAAAACCAACAGCCTCTGCCTGGAGCAGCAAGTTGAGGAAGGCAGGAATGCATTTCAGAAACACGTGCACATACTCCAGCACTAGTTCCCCCAAAGCACTACTAAGCCCAACCCTGCTCGTCCTCGTAGGGCAGGGTGCCCTAGCAGGCCTTTACTGGTTGGATCTTCCCTCGCAGCCACCACTCCATCCGCTTCTTACCCTTGGCTGTGTCATAAACCCCAAAATAGGCTGCTCTGTAGATGATGATGCCCTGGACAGACACATTGAATCCCTGGTACAGGCCCCTCAAGCCATCGGACTTGAAGATCTTGACAATGCAGTCGCCCAGCCCCGTGAACTCCCTCTCGGATACTCCTTTGCCCACATCAGCCGCCAGCCGGGTCCTGGCAAAATCCAGCGGGTAGACGAAGCAGAGCGAGGTGGCTCCGGCCGCGCCACCGGACGCCAGGTTGCCCGCGAAGTAGCGCCAGAACTGCTTGTGCCTGTCCACTCCCCCCAGGAAGATCTGCTTGTACTTGTCCTTGAAGGCGAAGTTGAGGGCCTGGGTGGGGAAGTACCGGATGACGTTGGCTAGATTGCCCCTCCAGAAGGAGATGATGCCTTGCTCCTTGGGGATGCGGACGACGCAGTCGATGATGCCCTTGTACTGTTTCTCCGCTGTGATCTGTTTGCTGGCGTGCTGGACCTGGAGAAGCAAGAGGAGGGTGGGAGGGGAGGGCAAGGAGGACGCGGCAGGGTCACCCCGCACGCCGGCCGGCTAAGGGCAGCGAACGCCCGCCCGCCGCCTGGCTCGGCTCCCGCTCCCCGAGGAGCCCGGGCAGCTCCCGCGAAACCGGAGCCGGCCGAGCGCCTTCCCATATTTAGGCACGCCGGGTCGCGCCCGGCCCACCTGTGGCGCAGCTCCGACGGACTCCGCCGCCCGCGGCCGCCCGCGGCCCCCCGCGCCCCCCGCCTCCTCACCTGCAGCAGCAACTTCACTCTCTCGATGGGGGCGACGGCCGTCTTGGAGATGGCGGCAGCGACCCCGCCGGCCAAAAAGTCCTTGAGAAAGCTGAGCGCTTGGTCACCCATGCTGGAAGCCGGTCCGACACCCCCTACCCGGAGAGAGCCAACGAGCCACGCACCTCCCCACCCAGCACCCCACGCCGCGCCCCGCCGGCCAAATGGCCCAGGGCCCCGTGCAGCCCCGCTTATAACCTGCGGCCTCTCGCGATAGGAGGAGGCGGCCCCCCGGGGCGCGCACATTGGCTGGGACCCCCCAGGACCCGCCCCCGCTGGGGGGCGCGAGGCAGCGCCGCCATGTTCCCCCGGGAGGGACGGCGAGGGCCGCCGGTCTCGGGACGTTTAAAGGGCAAATTAAAGTTATCTGGTGGCCGCGGGGAACGCGATGTCAGAGCATGTGCCTGCTGTATTAATAGCTCGCGGGAGGCACCCGAGGGGACCGAGAAAGCTTGCAGGAATACCTCGGGTGGCAATAGTTGTTTGTAGGGGCTGGCTGCCGGTGCCAAAGGTGCTGCAGGCACAGGCTTTGTGTGCGTGGCCTCCAACCTCTGCGGTGCGTGCTGCGGGAGGGCGTCGGGCTGCAGAGCCCCCGGGGAAGGTGATCATAGAATGGCCTGGGTTGAAAAGGACCACAATGATCATCTAGTTTCAACCCCCCTGCTGCGTGCAGGGTCGCCACCGACCAGACCAGGCTGCCCAGAGCCACATCCAGCCTGGCCTTGGATGCCTCCAGGGATGAGGCATCCACAACTTCCTCCACAACCTCCTTGCAGCAGTGTGGCGCTGTGCACGCGTTTGTGAGCATTTGGGGGAACTAGAAACGGGTGCGGCCTCTGCAAGGCAAGGACACGGAGCCTCCTCGTGTCTGATGCAGCGTGAGCCTGCCAGCCTTGAGGTCTTCAACATCCCGGCATGTTCCAGAGGCTGCCTTCCCATAGAGGAGGCAGTGTGCCCTCCTGCAGCGTGCCCTGGTTTCAACCCGGCAAGGTCAGACCCTCTGCAAGCACTGCAGTCAGTCACCCCTCCAGGAAGCGCGTGCTTGGGAATGCTCAGATTGCTTGACTAGCACCCTCTGTGAGAGATCAATGAGGGCTGCAGCAAAACCTTATCTCTCTTCAGTGCATGTGGAAGCACTTCAGTCTCAAATGCAGGTTGTGTGGCCTTCTTCACATGTTCCCTCTGCCTGATGTCTGTATGAGCTTGTGATTCGCTGTTGCGTGGAGTAGTTATATGAAAGGCAGTGCAACAAACTGTAAGTGTATACCAAGGAATTTGCCTTAAAACAGTCATCATATGTGGTTCTAGGATAATACTGTACTGAGGAAAGCTGAGGTTAATGAGGTCAACTTTACTTCGGTAATATAGTATCGATAATTGAAATAGAATTCATTTCAATGTAGTGCTAAAAGATTGGCTGTTCCACGAAGAGACATTCCCTTCAGGACAGCAAATCTCTTCTCACTGACGTCTGTGTTAGCACAGGGCAATGAGACTGTAAATTTGATCCCCAGCCTCTCTTGCTCTCTGAGGTAGAGGTCTTTTCTCATGAACCTCAGCAACAGCAGCTTTAACCCTGCACACCCAAGCCACCATGAGCAAGATGGAGTCTTTCCCCAGTTCTAAGAAATGGAAAGAGAGGTCACCTGAAGAGACCTTTTTCCCAAGCAAGAACTGAAAGCAGGTGCAAGCTGGAAGCACAGGGGATCCCTAAAGTTAGACTGTGAGTTGTGGGTTTCATTGTTTAACAGGTGTAGCTATTCTTGCCCCTTACTTTTTCTTCCTCATGCTTAACTCACCAGGTGTGGTATCTCCTCTTTTCATAGGGAAGTAAATATCCCTTTGACATCTCAGGAATCCACAGGATGGCAGTGTTTGCAGTGCTGCCCAGCTGGATGAAGTCTCCTCAGTGCATGCAGGCAGGTGTGTGCAGTGCCCTGCTGACTGGTACCAGGTGGTACCAGGAGGGAGGGTGATACTAGGAGGGAGGGGAGTAGGGGCTGGAGTGGGACTGTGGTGGGGAGGTCTGGCCCAAAAGGGTCTTTCACCTGCTTCTTCCTCACCCTCTTCCTTTTAGCTCGTTTACGTTGCTTTTCGTTTTCTCTAAATGAATGATAAATTTAGTAAAGCCTTTATCATAAAAATTCCAGCTAGTTTTTGAAGTTACTGTTACACATCATTACTCTGTTCCACAGTTGGTTTGATACGCATTTCTGTAGTGGTGATGCTATATATCCATATCTGCCAGTATTTAAAAAAGCAGAGCACTGGAAGTGAGCAGTCACCTTTTATGTTTCTGATCTCCCTTCCCAGAACCCATATGCCTAGTTTCAAGGGATATTCAACTTTAAGTGTTAACAGTGTTAAAATAGTGGGCTAGACTATTGCCTGCTGCTCTGGGTGATGTTTTTTGATTTATTTTTGTTCCAAATGTCTATTTAGATCATCCATGTATATGACAATCTAGCCTTTTTATCCTGCTTGTAGGAGATCAAATGCACTCTGTTAAGGACCTTTCACTAACTCTATCAGCACCACAGAATAAGGATAGGGATTTCCAGTAGCTGGAAATGTCATTAAAGAAAAAGTGAAAGGAGCTTGGCTTTTCATGGAATTCGTTGGTGCTTAGTGTTCTGCATTTTCTTGAAGCATTCCACGAGATGAAACTTTTTTACCAGCTGTCGTGTACTCTTGTTTCTTTGCATTGCTGAACCCTAGGAAACTAGTGCTGAGGCTTGGCCAGACACAAGAACGCTTTTTCTCAAAAGTCAGCAGTCTCCGTCCGACAGCAGACACAAGGGGGAGCACAAGCAGTCTGTAAGACTGTGCTGACCTCCCCAGCACAGACAAGCTGTGGGTAGACAAAGTAGTGGCAAGACGCTAAGAAGAAATGTATTTTCTTTTGTTTTGTTTTCAGAAAAGATTTTTGGGGTTGCAGTAAATTCTCCATGTAAGAGGTTGGTTTGTGTTTGTAGTGAGTTCCTCCTACATAAATGGAGAAGCCTGGGAGGAGGCACAAAATGGCAGTCTGAAAATATAACCAATATAACAAACTGAAGACTAATCTCATGGCCTGACCCGTCTGGCTGGAAACAGGAGCCAACATTTTCACGATGGGCTGTAAGAATACAAAGAGTAACTCACATCATGTGTTGGAGAACTGTGAGCTAGTGGAAGGATGCAAAGAGGGGGATAGTACAGTAAAGATGGTGGGTTGTATCTATGCAGTATGTTCTAGGTGTGTAATAGGATTTTAAGACTGTGTTTCTCAGACCAGACAGAAATAAATGTTGTAACTAGCCCTAATCCTAACCCTGATGAGACCTTGAATCTGTCTGTGTGGATGCATGGGGAAAAACACATCTCAGCCTTAGTATGTAGGAATGGAACACCAAGATTTGCAGCTGATACATGCAACTCTAGGAACAAGACGAAAGTCAGAGATGGACACTCAGTGACCAGCTTAGAGTGATCCATAGTGATGAATAATGAAGGCATCAGGAAGAATGGAGGATCTGAAAAGATTAAAATCTCTTGGTATTATTCACTTTTATTTGCTTTCTCTCTCTCACGTGCTCTTTCTCTCTTTTTTCCATCTGAAATCCTTGAGTATGGGCATGAGAGGGGAAAAAAATGATGGGGATGGAAGCAGAAGTTGGGAAATAGATGATGTGACATGCTGCCTCAGCATGATAAAAACATAATCTGTGTTTCAGTCATTGCTTGGGAAGTGCTTTTTGGGAATACGTCTAGTGCAGGAGCACAAGAAAAGCACTATCTACCTCTAATTCAAAGGAAAAAAAAGAAAGACTTTTTAGTATTTGCTTATAAGTCACGAGAAATAAATACTGATTACACTAATATTTATTATAGACTCTTAAATGTTGCTATATTGTTTGGAATTCATATGTCTAGCATGTACAGTTGTATTATAAGTAGGTATGAATGAATATATGCTATAAAAGTGTCCTACGCAGATCTCTCTTTACATCCTCCCCTTTCTCCTCCGCTTCTACAGCACCTTCATTTCCAGCGAGCAGAAGAGATTTTGGCACAGCTTAGGGGGAAACTAACCTAAAGCTATGCACTTTCTCCTACTGGGCACTGCTCAGCAGGGGAGGCTGTTCTCAGCTTCAGCCAGTAGTAACGCGGGTGGCAGGAGGTCTCTTACAGCAGGGGATATGAAGCATGCATTTGCATAGGCTGCTTTTCCTTGCCTCCCCTCTGCTCTCCAGCAAGCATGGGTTTATTTTAGCTTTGGCCTTCTGAAGCAGGATTGTTTTTCCCTTGAATAGGTCAGGCTGGGATAGTGCCAGGATACATGGCCTTCCATAGCTGGGGTGACTCGGGAAGCCGGAGATACCTACTAAGTAGACAGTGCCTCTAACTGCTGGGCCTGTGCCCAGTGTCAGGGGAGTATCCTAAATTAACCTTTGTGATAAACAGCAAAGACAGCCCTAGGCGAAAGGACTTTTCTGTCTGGTGTCAGGCTGAAACAGGTTATAGTGCTGCCCTCTGTTGTTGGAATTCAAAAAAAGTCGTACAAGGCAATGCTGAAATTCAGCTGAATGTTAGTAAAATGTGAGTAGAAAAGCCACATGTGAGTAAGTGAAGTATTTCATCCACTTGTTTCATATGACGGTTCAGCCCATTGGTATGTGCCTGCATCTCTTCACTAGCAGTTCAGTTTGTAGGAACAGAATATGGCTAATATTACTCCTTTTTTGAGCAGATTGAGTCCTCATGTCTGATCTTGTGTCCTAGAAGTCATACGTTGTGGGATGCTTGTTTGTATTTTAGTGCACAGGGGAAATACAGAGGAAGAATTTTCTATTTTCTATTTTCTATTTCTATCTGCTATTCTTTCTATTTGTATCTGCTATTTTTCTTGTTTTTACATGGAATTATTGGATTTCTCACAAGCACTCGAGATAAAGTTGTATCGAAAGCTAGAATCATTCAAGGTCACTCTTCTTTGAGTAAAGGCTGCAGAGAATTATCTAGAACTTTTTTCTCCTAGCTAATCTGTGAACCAGTGTGGAAGCAAAATGAAAGTAGTCTGATATTTCCATCTGATCTGGAGGGAAATCCCATCAAGGAGCATTTCCTAGTCCTAGTGTAGTGCAGCCTTGCCAGACCTGACACATAGGTGGCTCCAAACCCTTGCACAAATGCAGATATGCCTGGCAGCTGTTGAAAGCAGACATGCTGTCCAGCCTGTTGGTGGTAGTGTGTTTTTTTTTTTAAGCTAAAGAAGCTCAATTCTCAGCATTGCTTAGGGAACACAAGCCCTCTTTCAATGAGAAAAAAAAACTTCTCACTTTCTGACTGGTACCAAAAAATAGAAAATTGTAGTTGTATTCTGCATTCTGTCCCTGATGGTAAAGGCACTAAATAAAAGCAGAACTGATCCATAACGGTGATGCAGCTGGTATTTTACAGTGATAAGTAAAAGTAACATCGATCCTGTCAACAACTTGACAAATTGTTTTACAGTGTGCGGAGGTTGGTGATTATCTGTTTATGCAGCCAGGCCATGAATATTGAAATGAATCAAACCTTCTGTCAAAATATGTGAGAGTTAATTAATGATTTTTAGAAATGGAAGTGGTTGTAACAATGGAGGTGCAAGGTTGCCCCTGCCTTCAGGAGGTTATATTTTGATTTCTGTTGAAGAATCCTTTTTCTAACATTTAGGCTTGCAACTTCAGATGGCCTGTAAAGGTGTGGCCTTATGTCTTTGTGTTGTAAACAATAATCAGGCCCTAACTCTTGGCCCATCTGATCGAAGATACTGAACTAGTAAAAAGTTCCTGTTTAACTTTTCTTTCTGCTTGGTTTGCTCTTCAGTTTTGGGGCTGTTTACCCTCATTTGCCAGATTCCAAAAGCAGGTGAGGGAAAAGAGACCCAATACCGTTGGCTGGCTGAGATGCTCATTTGTGCAGGCAATATCTGCTTGTCAGCCAGGATTGCAGGGGGATCTGGTTGACTGGAGCAGTGGTCATAATCTTCACACATGCTGGGCTTTTTGTTTGATGTGTATTTGCCTCCACCATATCTAAATTAGCAACAGAAGAAAACAGGAAGATGAAAAAAAAATCTGTTTTATATGTAGTCTCAGTAATTGAGAGTATTGGTTGAAAAAAATGGGTAAAATCTGATTGTGCTTTAGTTTTTGCTTCTTAGATTTCACAGGGATGGGAGAATCAGTACATCATCTGCTGTGACTGCATTTGAAGCCAACTTGGCAAAGTTGTTTCACTCTGATTTCATTCCACTTGGCCACACTCTGGTGAGTGTCTGTCTAATCACATTTATTGTGTTTAATTTGTGAACCATTTGTGAATGCAAACAGTTGGTGAAGCTCAAAACAAAGGAAATTCACTTATGATAGAGGAAAGAGATCCTTTTCCAGAGGTAATATTCTTTCACTTTTCTTTTCTTTTTTGTTTGTTTTTGTTTTGTTACTGTGAGTTGCTCTACAGATCACCATCCATTGGTGTGCATTGAGAGCACATGGGGACAGGCAAACCTTACAGGAACAGACAAAAACAAGCATAGTGGTCAGTGGAGAAATCCTCAGTCCCTGTCTGTCACCAGTGCACACGAAGCTGATGGATCACTGACTTGAAGAGCCAGGTGGTAATATTCCTTGAGAAGGATGCTCCCTGGCAACTTGGAAACCTTGACATCTGGCTAACCTTCAGCTGGTGGGTGTCTGGCATTCCCCATACACTGCCTAATTCTGCCCCTGAGATCAAGAAACACTGGACACCATGGGTCACAGAGCCACTGGACCCCAGGATGGTGCCTGTTCTCTTTGCAAAATTCTGTGACTGCCTTGCAGTTGTGATTTGGCACCACAAGCAATAAAATTGTGTGGATATGGTGGATATGATGCTACAGGCTTGTCAATGATAAC